GTTAGGGAGGGAGGAGTGAATTTTTGAAAGAGCGAAGAGATTGAAAAAAAAAATTTTTTTCAAATGAATTCTCCAAAGTGTGGATTGAAAAAAAAATTTTTTTTCCATTCAAAAATTCATTCCTCCAACCCTAACTGCGACTAAGGGATGAAATTTGTGCCAACGTGTTGAGCATTTAATACTCAATGAGTGACACAAATTTCATCCCTTAACGCTTCATAGGGAGGAAGGAGTGAATTTTTGAAAGTGCGAAGAGATGGAAAAAAAAAANAACTTGTGTCACTTATTGAGTATTAAATGCTCAATTCAATGACACGAGTTGCATCCCTTAGCGCCTTTTGGAGACGGAGGGGTGAATTTTTGAAAGTGCGAAGAGATTGAAAAAAAAAATTTGTTTTTAATTAAAAAATTAATTCCTCCGACCCTAACTACGACTAAGGGATGAAATTTGTGCCAACGTGTTGAGCATTTAATACTCAATGAGTGACACAAATTTCATCCCTCAGCACTCGTTAGGGAGGGAGGAGTGAATTTTTGAAAGAGCGAAGAGATTGAAAAAAAAATTTTTTTTCAATTCAAAAATTCATTCCTCCGACCCTAATTGCGACTAAGGGATGAAATTTGTGCCAACGTGTTGAGCATTTAATACACAATGAGTGACACAAATTTCATCCCTCAGCACTCGTTAGGGAGGGAGGCGTTAATTTTTGAGAGAGCGAAGAGATTGAAAAAATTTTTTTTTTTTNGTGTTGAGCATTTAATACTCAATGAGTGACACAAATTTTATCCCTTAGCGTCTAATAGGGAGGGAGGAGTGAATTTTTGAAAGCGCTAAGAAATTGAAAAAAAAAATTTTTTTCAATTCAAAAATTCATTTCTCCGACCCTAATTGCGACTAAGGGATGAAATTTGTGCCAACGTGTTGAGCATTTAATACTCAATACGTGACACAAATTTCATCCCTTAGCACCTGTTAGGGAGGGAGGAGTGAATTTTTGAAAGCGCTAAGAAATTGAAAAAAAAAATTTTTTTCAATTCAAAAATTCATTCCTCCGACCCTAATTGCGACTAAGGGATGAAATTTGTGCCAACGTGTTGAGCATTTAATACTCAATACGTGACACAAATTTCATCCCTTAGCACCTGTTAGGGAGGGAGGAGTGAATTTTTGAAAGAGCGAAGAGATTGAAAAAAAAAAATTTTTTCAAATGAATTCTCCTAAGTGTGGAGATTGAAAAAAATTTTTTTTTTCATTCAAAAATTCATTCCTCCGACCCTAACTGCGACTAAGGGATGAAATTTGTGCCAACGTGTTGAGCATTTAATACTCAATAAGTGACACAAATTTTATCCCTTAGGGCCAGTTAGGGAGGGAGGAGTGAATTTTTGAAAGAGCGAAGAGATTG